CTCTGACCTTTTCTGGGTCTGGACGAAGACCGTCCGCCGTTATAATGTGGCCAACATAAGGCACTTCCGTCTGCCTTACTTTGCATTTCTCAAAGTTTAGCTTCAGGTTGAACGCTGTTGCTCGTTCAATTACTTTGTGTAGAATGCTGTCATGATGTGTTGTGTCTCGTCCTGCAATAAGGATGTCGTCCATTATGGCGAATGCACCATCTATGCCTTCCAGCATTTCGTCCATGATTCTTTGGTAGATCTCCGGTGCCGACTTAATGCCGAAGGGTAGCCTCAGCCATCGGTAACGTCCCATAGGAGTGTTGAAGGTCGTGAGGAAATTTGATTCCTCATCCAATTTGATCTGTAGAAATCCGGACTTAGCATCGAGCACGGAAAAAACTTTCGTGTTTGGAATGGCTGAGACAACGTCGTCTATGGTTTTCATAGGATGATGTTCCCTGAGAATAGCTTCATTCAGGTCCTTCGGGTCTATGCATATGCGAACTTTGCTGTTTCTAAGGCTGACGACCATAGAACTGACCCAAGGTGTCTACTGACACGGGTTATGAAATCATTCTCCTCCATCTCCCTCAGTTTTTCGGTGATCAGTGGTCTGAGCGACGCAGGTTGTCTTCTCACTGGGTGAACTACTCCTTTCGCCTGAGGATCTATCTTGATCGTGTGCACTCCTGGTAGTGTGCCAGTTGTTTTCACCAGTTCAGGAAAGTCGTTGAACTGATCCGTCGTAGAGTCAGACATTTTAACAGGATTCATCCTCTGTATGAGATTGAGGCGTTCTGCTGTTATTCCTGTAATCACGTTTTCCTGGTGAATGTCAACTATTTCAAACTCAGCTTGAATGTTAGTGTCTTCATTCCTGAGTGGTAGTTGCACGTGAAACTCTGGACGGATTGTATGATTTGTGAATGAGCGCAAAAGTTTGTTTGATTGGCTTTTCACTCCTGATAATTTGCTCTGGTGATACTGGTGTGAAACAATGATATTGCACTTTGCTCCTGTGTCTATCCTGAATTTCAGAGGTTTCTCACATACGTGAAGAGTCACTAGCCACTTGTCTGCGTTTTCCTGACCTTCAGTATCATCTGTAGCGAGAATATCGAGTAGATCGTGCTCGTCCACATCACTGATATTCATCTGTGACTGTTGTCGCTTGCGGCATACTGATTTCCATGTCCGGTCAGTTTACATACCGGCATGTACTTTTCAGAGCTGGGCATTTGTTGTTCGGATGATTGTCGGGTCCAAACCACATCTGTGACACATAGGTTTAGAGTTCTGTTTTTTTGGAACACTAGTTTTCCTTTTTGATGTCTGTCGCACTGTTTTTTTTGTTGTGCTGTGGTCTAGCGGTTTTGATACTGGATACTGCCTGAGTTTTGCGTATTCAGCTCCTTGGAACATTTTAAGCTGTTTCTGAGAGAGCTCGTATTGTCTGCCTATTTGCAGGGTTTTGGCAGTTTAATCATGTCCTTGATCGGTAAGCGTTCTCGGACCTTCGTGTGTGCAACCCTGCAATAATCGCGTCGACAAAAATATCGTCTGTATCTGCGTACTCGCAGTCCATTAGAATCAGTCTAAATTTTTCACAAAATTGTCAAAGGACTCACCGTCTGTTTGTTTTCTCTGTTTCACACGAAATCTCGCGGCTCTCTTATTTTTCCCGGGGGTTTACGAATCCTCAAACTTTTTAAGATTTTCTCTGGATCATCTTGTTCCCTTTATCCCGGTAAGTGTTTTGTAGACTTCCCGTCCGTGTTTCCCTAGCCACATTCCGAGCCAACCCGCCTTTCCTTCTTATCAGCTTTACACAGGGGACCTTTGTAAACAAATTTCCCCATGCTGTCTGAAGCGAATATTTGTTATAAATATGGGACTGTCCCAGTCCATGGACGGGTTTCGAAATTAAGCCAGCATGGTTTTATTCTGACACCATGTGCTATACGACAATACAAGATGGATGCCGATATTATATTTTAATCAATAATAACGGGGAAACAACCCATGTAATAACGAATATAATACACTACATATGAAATAGTGTTAAAGAGATGGAGATGGCTAAGGAACTTGCTGCCTTATATCACTATGTAGAACAGTATTTCCAAAAATTAAACATCAATATGAAATATAGAATAAGGAAAAAAACTATGAACAATCATCATTGATGTAAAACAGTATTTGCAAAAGTTAAAAATAGTATGAAATGTTGATACATGTACACATGACTAGGATAAGGTAAGCAAAACTATGAACAATCTGTCTAAGGCATATGAGAAAAAGAAACTAGATTACATGCAGTAACATTCTTCATAATAATTGTTCATATACATGTAGTTCTTCACATTTCCTCATTGTGTCTGAGTTCACTCTGTGTCACATTTTATGAAATAAGAACTGTGGGTCAACTTGTATTTCGATATGGTGTATGAAAAAACATTATTTTGAATTACTGTGATCTTCAAGACAATAAAGATCAAAATACCTTTACTGTTTATGATTGAAATAATTACTGGTGGAATTTACATTTTTCCACACTTGTAAACTCGCTGCCTTTTGACGTGCATCTCAGAGAGATTGTTGGTTGGCATTTTCTAATGTGACTCTCAACATCATTTTTCTTGACGTCTGGCAGAGCTAGTTCTACCAGTTAATATGGGATGGTAAGGATGCTGTCATCCTGCAGTAGGAACGTTACGCCCTCCATCCAAACATCCAGATTTGCTTTATATATCTTTACTTCGGCAGGACAATCTGTCTTCTAAAAAAAAAAACATCTGTTTGTATTACATATTTTTGTCAAAGTATCTATAAAATCAAGGTATTACAAGGAAGTGATGTGTTTAAAACTGAATGTAAACTTACAGTGATTTTGGTTTTTGTAGTTGTCGTGAGCGACACTTATTTCTGAAAGTGTTGGTCACAACATCTGTGATCTGGACATAGTCTCCAGGACGGTTTTTTTCTGCAAAGTTGGGCCCAAAATGCAACTTTGCTTTTTGGTGGAGTTTCAACATGATGTTTTTAAATTTTTCCCTTTCCTCCACAAACACCTCTCTAGGGTTCCCCACATTGATGGGAAAGTGAAGTTAATGATAAATAATTGAATTTTTATTTTTGATGAGGGTGATAAAGATTTTATGAAATATGTATTTTAATAGTACGGAAATATGTCATACTTGATTTCCATATAACTTTTTTTATAAGTTTAAACCATACATTTGAAGAAAGTGAAATGTTATGATCAAAGTAAGGCCATCTTTAAATGATAGTTTAGTTAATTTGCCTTGTTTGACAGACTATAAATCCCCAAGTTGGGAGACAGCAAGGAAACATTATTTGGAGACACCTCTTCTGAAATGAGAAGGGGTTGAATGAATAAGTCAATTTGACTTACCTGCATAATTCTCCCCTTAATGGAGACTCTGACTCTTGGAGGGGAGTTCAGAGCCTCGCTCACTGGCTTTCTGTGGGAGCAGGTGGAGGGTTTAGTAGGATGCTCTGTTGCTCCTGAGGCACATTCACATCATTGCAAGGAAATACCTTACTGGTTGTGGTAACTGCAATCGAATCCACCTTTTTGATGAAATTTCTTAGAATGACAGAACTTCCCTCCATGAATCTTGCAAATTTTGTGTTGTCATATATTGTGCATAATATGGCTGTTGCTTCATCAGCCAGTGCACAGTTGAGGAGGACTCGGTCTTCATTCTTTTCATTCTTGTACGTGAATTCTTTGCCTCTGGCAATAACTTTAACTTTAATGCTCTTAGTGTAAGGCACCTGTCCCCTCTGACTCATTAACTCAGCTAATGTGACGGTTGTGGTCTGAAACAAAAAAATTGTTAAGTAAAATTATGACTTAGTGAGGTTTAAAAAAAATGATGAAAATTAAATGGAAAAGTAAATTCTTTTGGTATGCAAATATTGCTTACAATTGTTTTTCATTTCAAGGTATTTGTTAATAGGCAGGCATTGCAGGCAGAACAGAAATTTTCAGATTTAAATGAGATCATAACTCATACGTTAGGATCTATTGACTTCACTGACAAGAAGATTGGTTTGTGATCAGAGTAGTATGATTCTAATGTTCCATGTGAATGAAGGTGCTCTTTTGGGAAATTTATGTAAATGTAATCTAAACATGAATTATAATCTGTTGTCACAGTGTTTAATAACTGATGAAATGAGTATCTGTGCATTAAAAGTTCTAAATTTGTAGAGTTTTGTAAAGCATCCTGATTAAAGTCTCCCATTAATATGGTTGGTTTACAAAAATTAATGGTGGATTGCAAGTAATGCATAACATCTGCAAAATTGTTCTTGGTAGCAGATTTAGGTGGACATTATATGAAACAGATATTTGCAATGTCCAGGACAGTAATAAGTAGTTCTATGCCACTTACTGAGGTAGCAGTAATTTGGTTCTGGTTGAAATGTGGTTTATAGTAGACGGCCATACCATGTTTGCTCTGTTTGTCATCAGCACAATAGAGAGAAAGTCCTTCAATGTGGAGTTCTGAATCTGCTTCATATACTCTTGTTTCAGACAAAGCTAAAATATCCATGCATTGCAAGAATACGTCCTTTTTCAGTTCATTGAAATGTTTTTTCAGTGAACGACAGTTATGAAAACATATCAGTGTGCAATCATTGGTCATGTTTCGCAGATCTGGTAACTTCAGTTGTAATTGTGCTGTAGATTTCAAACGATTCATTTCATCCGTGACATGAGAACAAATGCTAATTTTTTTTGCATTCAATTCCATGATGTATAGGTTGGATAACTTTTTTATACGACTTAAACCAACATAATGAATGTGATCATTTTTCCTGCTTCCGAAATGTAGAACAGCAGTATTCATAGTTGACCCTTGAGCTTTATGTATGGTCTTCGCTGCAGACATCTGTAGAGGGAATTGCCTTCTGATAACGTTGTAGGATTTGTAATGCTGAACGTTAATGCATCTTGTTACCTCCAGTATTGGTGTTCAAGACCGGGGAATGTTTGCCTTATATAGATTTGAATATTTCTGTCGCCACTGGCAACCTGATGATGCATTTTCAAGCTCAACCCATACGATACTAACACGCTCAGATGAGGAGACACGGTAATCAAACATTTTTATTGAACAGGATGCACCATTTGTTAAACCATCTTCTACGCTTACATTTAAGCACAATTCAAATGGTGGTCCAATAGCAAGATGGAGATTTCTTTGGAGTTCCATGGTTTTCCCTGCATCATCTGGAACTTTGCTCAATATTTTCTCCTTCAAGGAGCATGATACATCTCCTGACACAGTGTCTATGGAATTAACAATTGTTTTCATAGTTTCAGGGAGATTTTCTAACACATGGAAATTATGCAAATCACACTCTGAACGAGTTGTGAATAAATGAGGAATCAAATTTAAATTGTGAGCATAACTTTCATTCGATGCAGTTAATAACCTTGACTGCAGAACCTCTATGTCCTGTGGGACTAAGTGGTTTCCTTCTCGTAACCTATTCAGAAGTTGTGCAAAAGCAACATCATCCTTTTGACGCATAATTTCCTCCAATTCGAATATGGTGAAATGGTCTTGCCATAGATTTGCACCAATACATTCAATGCCTATGCGAGGAACTGTAAATATCCAAGAGTCCATCACTGGCTTTAACTGATATAGGTCACCAAATGCTATTACACTGACTCCACCAAATGGTTTACAACATCCTTTTAGCTCTTGTAAACGCAAGTTTATGAAATTGAACATTTTTTGGCCCACCATTGAAATTTCGTCTATGAACACAATCTTCAAATGGAAGAATTTACATCTCATAGAATCTAGTTGGTGCATATCTAGTGGTTTAAATGAAAATCCTCTCCCAACTGGTATGCCAAATGCTGAATGTATTGTATTGCCACCTATATTATGAGCTGCCTTGCCAGTAGGTGCACAAAGCAGAACTTTGAGGTTATCTGGGTTTTCTCCTACTTTATGATTGAAGAATTTGACTAAAGCTTGATAAAGACATCGTAGTAGAACACTTTTTCCTACACCTGCTCCACCAGTAAGGAAAGTATACAAAGGTGTATCACTTGTTTTGAAATGATTCAAAATATTGTAGAAGAAAAAAATCTCTTGCTTCTCATTTAGACTCTGTACTAATGTCCTGTAGTTACTATCTGGCATTTCATTCAGTGGTAATGAATCACTTTCCAAGCGCTTACGTGCTATTCCCAAATCCTGTCCAATATCATATTCATCACGTGATAATGTGTCTGTGGCATGTGGTTCACTTCCAGGATCAAAACACCCAATGCTAGTAATGTATAGAATCTTGTGCTGAGTCTATTGCTTCTTGGTGTTCATTCTCTGGCAAAACAGCATTCCTTTGATAGTCATCCATATCATCATGGTCTTCCAATATGCTTTCTCCAAAATCACAAGTTACTTTCGTATATCTACCTTTTGCTACTTGTATTACATCCTCCATCTTGATGTAACTTTCCTCATATGTACTACAACCATGTAAAAGATCAATTTCCTCTTTTCTCCATTTTGTAAAAAGCATCAATAATTGCCTGTAGTGTTCTTCTCTAACTGCATTCACAGTGATGTTATGGTACCTTAACACTTTTTGCCTCTTACGTTTTTTCATGATAGTTCCATCTCTAAATTCAAACACTGGCAGTTCATCTTGAAGATTGTTCATTTCATCATCATTTGCAACTGTAGCTAAAATATCATCTTCTAAGTCATGTGTATAATCTTCCTCAGGCAATTCTGCCCCACAATCCTCCATGTGCTCCCTACATTTCTCAAAAGATGTGTCAAACCAAGAAACAAAATCTGCATAACAGTAATTGCTCATTTCTTTTGGGCGTCTTTTGTAACGTTTCAATACATTGTCTGATTCCACATTAGTTGAAGATTGTGGCATTTCTTTTAAACTAGAGTGTGACTTTAGTAACACAGTTCTTTTAGTTGATTCACTTGTGTCAATGAAAACTACTTCTCTGGAAGATTTCCTCAATGGCATCTGAAGAACCAGATATGCAGCTTCCTGTGCACCTATTTCCACATGGCTTAAAAATTGGTTACCAATTCTTCTAACTTGCTGTTTTATATCACTGTCTTTCTGTCTGGCTTCTCTGCATGCTTCATATAACAGGTTTGATAAACCCCTTTGACCTTTTGATATATATGAAACTATATATGAAACACAAGCGTAAGGATCAAGAATGAACTGTATGTCCATGTTTGCTTCCCAGCATTTCAGTAAGGTTGTGTTGTAACTGTTAATTCGTACTTCTTCTACTGAACGCTTCAAAAACACCTTGGAGACGGAGAGGGTTGATTGAATTGCCTGCAAGTAAGATGCAAGACTCATGTCTAATCGCAGTAGGAAGTCCTCAAAAGTTGCATATTCCTGTACGTTATTTGCTTTGATATCTGATAACAATTTCGCAATTTTCTGGAAATTTTGATTTCCTAAAGCCTTTTCCTCTTTATCCTCTAGGATCAAGGACAACTGTATATGGCATTGGAGGTAAAGGGAAATTGAATCTACAAATACTCTTTCCTTTTTTTCTACATGTTCTGGCATGTCTGTGAGTTTGGTAATTAACCAAATTTGGCATATCTTCATCTTTCTTGCATGTGACATGTTATCAATGAAGCTTGCTTCTTCTTCCGCAGAATTTACAAATTTTTTTCCTT